CGAATAGACGCAGTCGTCGACCTCGATATAAGCGAAACTAGCGACGCAACCGGTCCTGGATGTAAATTATGGCCGGAGGAAGAGTGCGGAGTTAGCATTACAACAGTGGTGGAAGTTATAAAAGTAGCGGGTGGGGGTTCTTTTTCAGCTGCGGCTCTTGCCTTTAACGACATCCCGGTGCCACGATATCTAATCGTGAAGCTGAGAGAGGTTCCTAGTTGTAAGTAAGGAGAGGAGGAGGGGCAGTCTGGTAGCGAGATCTGGCAGTAATTGGGTGTAGTCTACTCAGAAAGTGGATTAGTTTCAATCTTTCACATGTCTTGTTTTTTGTTTTTCTTACTGTATCCGCTTACGGTTATGATTAACCAGCAGGATAAAGGACAACCCGCCCTACGCGGGGCAGTAAATTTATAATACGGTACTGGTATACCCACGAAAACGGCTACCAGCCACTGAGAATCCACTGCCTGAGATTGAGGCGGTCGGGTATTTTATCGGCGACAAATATAACCAGGCAGAAAGGGACGAAACGAAAACTACCGCGAGTCCGCGCTCCTTGCCCATAGTCGGTTGCTAAGGAGAGAAAGAAGTCAAAATCCTCAAGGCAGAGATCATCATCGCCCAAATGGGAGGGTCCTGCTGAGAGAAAGCGAAGACGAGACGAACGAAGAAAGCGAAGGGCGGGAAAGGTGGGAAAAATAGCTGGAGATGTGAGAGACTCCGCGCATGAGGCAGGACAGTAGGAAGGAGGGGGGGGGACGGAGAGGCATCGGCAAAGCAAAGGACTATGGCCACTACTACCACAACAACAACCAGCGCCGGAGAATGTAGGTGAAGATATTCTGAAGGAAAATAAATAGAATCGTTATTCTGTTAAGGATATCCTTGGCCTATCAAGGTTTGCACTAGTGCCCTCAGCCAAGGTTTGATCCTTGCTAATATATTTTTTTTTAGTCCACGATCACCATCCATCAGCGTAAGGCGGCCGATAATAGTTTGGTCGAAAGATTCTCTACGAACGGTTAGATCCGACGCACGGCTATGACAAGATTCGCGATTGAAGGCCTTTTCTGATGGAGCTCGTGGGAATAGTACTAAGCAGGCTCAAGAGGGGTCAAAGCTTGCCACTGGAGCGAGTGCAGGCCAGCAGCCACCGTCCAGCGAGCGACATTACAATCACGATGATCACTCAACTCCAGAACTTAGAGCTCTTTACTGGCGATGTATCCAGAAGAGAGAAAGGAAGGAGAAGCAGGCTGAACTGAATATCGAGATTGCATCGGAGCCGGTGGTAACTTAGTCCCAGTTGCCGCACCAAAGGTGGAAATGAGGATTCAGAAGCCAAAAATGGAGAGAAAACGCGAGGATAAAGCCAAAGTTAGAGTTAGGGAGCCGGCCAAACCAAGTCGAAAGAGGTTGAAGCAAGTATTAAGGCTGGCTGCTGAGAAGAAGCCGGAAAAACTGTATGTATTTCCTTGATGGTGATGTTGATACTAGCCAAATCGCCTAGGGTTTAATGTGTTCCTGTCTGGCCGACGATATCCCATAGAAGGAATTAGCCCATCTCGCATGCGATTATTGTACTCATGGGGAGCTTAGCTCTTCCCTGTTTCCGGCCATGTTCGGTCGCTCCACATGTGATTGGCACTACTAATGCACTGGCGCTGGGGGGGGCGTAATAATAATACCAAGTTATAGCTGGTAATTCGGCGTGGGCCCCCCGTCGTACTCTTGGTACCCGGTAAGCAGAAGGGGGGAGAAACGTAAACATTGTGTTCTGATTGCCGTCGAAGGAATTCATAGAATTGTATATGTGAATGGTGTGTGCCCCATTCATCAGTGTTTGCACTGCCCCCCTCCTCCAAGCGCTGTGGTATACCGATTCTGAGTGATCCTACCTACCTTGCCAGGAAGAATCCTGCGCGATCGTGAGGGACTAAATGTCCCAGTCCCTATCGATCCCTAATAGCACTATCAGATTATGTGCAATATGGGTGCAAGGGTCATGGGTTATGGCCTGTGAAGGCGAGAGGGCTCGGTGGGTACGACCTTTTCACCAAGAAGATATAAAAGTAAGTAAGAGAGGACGAGTCGAGAAAACTCCCCCAACACCAGAGCAGAATGCCAGTGGAAAAAACCACTGCTTGAGGGTCATAATGTGCGTACAGTATTTGCTTCAGGTATATTATACCTCTACAAAGAGTGATACCCGACTTACACACCGCGCTCCAAGATCTGAAAAGTTCAACTGTCGACGCACGATCACAATCTGTGAGCTTCCTTGTCCGCAGATATGCCAGGACATCTTACAAATCAGCGACGACTGCTTGAGTAACGCTGCCACAGAACTCTCCCCCTCTGAGAGTATATGTAAACCACGGACTAGAGTTTGAGCTATGAGAGTATGTTTCTTGTTGATGGCAATGGTTGTTGGGTATGCTAGGGTGTTACTGGCTTGGTTGATTTAATTTAGAGCTATGGGGTGATACAGGGGGTGGTGATAGTGATCAGTGGAATGGGGCACGAACGAGGGCTACATAAACTGGCGAAATCATGTATGAAGCAGGGAGCCTACCCCAAGTGTGTCCCGGGAATGAAAAAAAAAACGCCCGTTGAGCGATACTCCCGCCGGCAGTTCGAGGTAACACGCTTCCGCCCAGTCCAAGCTATCCATTAAGAGTTGAGATTTCGTTAGAAACTAACATTATGTACTAACTACCTCTGAGTATTTAGCCCGACAATACCTTATCATACTGCCTCTTCAGCGCTTTGATAAGGGTAATATAAAACCGAGCAGAACAAAGCCACCAGAGTGGAGATATATATCTATAATTATAGACAGTACACAATATTGCCCAAAAAATGCCTTATTCTTTTTTTCCCCTCCCAAAAGCTGAAAACAAAAGGAGGAACCTATCCCCCCACCATTCCATCCATCCATCCACCTATTAAAAAACTCACCGAGCACCCTCAACGCCCCTCCGCACGCCTTCTAAACCCCTCCTGAGTTCGCGTGTGTCCACAACGCTAGTAACTCCCGCACTCTGCGAGAACACTACTCTATCAAGGCCTATTTCGCCATCCCAGGAACCGCCATTACTCACGGCAGAGCTGTCCTCCCGCTGCTTGCCAACCTTGCCTTTGTAGAAGCTGAAGTGGTTCCTGACCCAGTGCAGCATGCCCACCTCTAGGTCTACTGTGCCGGCATCTAGGCGGTCGTTGATTTGCGCTGTGTGCTCACAAGCAATGGAGAATAAGTTGGAAGGTGGGGGAGGGGAGCGCAAGTATTCTAGCGGGAGAGTAGCTGTGTAGGAACCTATGGCGGCTTCGTGGATCAGCTCTGTGAGGATCTAGAAGCGGAGGTTTCTCAGCGTTGATGTAGGAAGTCTGTCGAACCTTTCCAGTGTCAGTGGGGAGGTCGCTGGAGCCATGGTTACGGCGAGGAAGTGATTGTGGGGTTCTCCTTGCTAGCGGCGGGAGGTAGCATTTTCAGGTTTCTCGCGGAGAAGCAAAAGGCTCCGTGGATTGTTCTTGAGCTTGCCGGCGTTGGACACGCAAGTGTGTAGGGCTGCCAGTGTAGAGCGCTAGGGGAGGATGCAGCGGGAAGTACACCTTGGGCCGAGCTCTGATGCGATGCATGGGAGGGAGAGCGGGAGGGAGATGAGCGATTCAAGGGAGGAAGGGTAGGGCTTTTGTTGCGGGTGAACGACATAGCGACTGGCAAAGGTGGGATTTTGGTGAGGTTGAGGGAGCGCAGTGAGGAGTGATTTGTGTAGCGCTAATCACTGAGTTAGCTATAGCGTAGTACTATGTGAACGATATCCAGACTCCCCCATTTCTCCTGCTCCTACGGCTACACCGACCTCATCCCCATGATGTCGAAAAATCAAACACCTCCACCTGCTCACTCTACCCAATTCGAAACCTCGTGAATGCTACTCCGAATCACGGTGTTGAGCTCGGCGGTTGTGTCTTCGCCCGGCAGTAGTACCATCAGCACGATCTATTCCAGGTCAATACTCTTCAATCACGAGAACTGCACCTCAGGTGTGTGTTCTCTCCGAAGATTGTCACGGCTAACGGCGGCTAGAAGTTTGTCAGAGCTCCTAGAGTGGAGAAGATCGGCTTCTTCGTTAAAAGTGCTAGAAGGAGGGTGTAGTGTGCCGTTAGACCGATGTTGTTGTAGAGGTTTAGGGTGTGGCGGGTTGTGAAGTATCGTTTGTAAGGGCCTGGATTTTGGATTTGGTTACTAGCATTGGAGTTTTGCTCGTAGGAGGAGAATCGGGAGACACGAGAGGAACGGAGGGTCTCTGCTATATCTTCCTTGGTTAGTTTGATTTGATTGGAAGTTGGACTCCCGACGGTGTTCGCTGTTAGTTGCAATTGAAGGACGGAAAGCGGAGAAGGAGAGAGGAAAGAGGGATACAAAGAAGGAATGTGTTTATGCATGGAGGAGACAAGATGTGTTTTTTTGTAAATATCACTGTGGTGTGATTTCGTAGTGATGGCTTCGCAGGCAGATTCCACTTTCTTTCCTTTGGTTGTTTGACTGCGTAAGGAGACCGGGTGTATAGGGAGCTTCTTTTTTTGGCGAGGGGCTGGGTTTTCCCCACATTAGGATGAAGAGATTGGAAAGATGCTGTAGTGATCATTTCCGGGAGAACATAGAAAATACAGTATTTCCATTCCATGCAGGAAGTTGTGGAAATTAATAGTATGAATGCCCTAAACAGCTACCTCCAAGTGGAGTCATCAAGCCTTTGAACAATCTTTGAACCATTAAGCTCTCTCGACTAGGTGCGACAGCCTACTGGAAAATTCAGTGCGATGGTGTTTAATGAATTGCCTTATAGTTTAAGCTTAGGCATTTCCCAGGCCCCGACTCCAGTTAAAGTATTCCATAATGAGGCCAATGGATGAGCTAACTAAGTGCAGAGAACTGATACCAGTAGCTTTGGTAGCAGTGAAAAAAAGGAAGTTACTATTTAACAAAAGGTAAACAATGTTGCCAGGCTCGAACCGGAGACCGTCAGTGTGTTCAACTGGTGTGCTACCAACTACACCACGAAACCACCTTGCTATTTTGTCAGTTGAGCACATTTTATTTCATATCATTCTATCCCTTGGGTGGTGTGAAACAGTAAAATTCAGACCACACCTAGATTTGGCTGAGCCTCACTGTTCTACTTATACAGGAATTGGTCACAACTCAGCAACCTATCACTAACTACATTCTTAGTAGCAAGCTTTTACCTTCTTTCTTTATCCTATGTGTTCCTTGTATATCAAGTTATACCAATTATATACTTATTCTCTTTACTAGTAGTTTTATATTTCTTTACAATTTCTAAATAAGCCTAGTACTTTCAATATATTCTCTTGTTTTGATTTATATTCTTCTTCTTTGTAATAATGCTAAATTATTTCTGACCTTTATATTCATACTGTTATAGCTATAATCACCCAACTTTAAGTCTTCTTTTGACTCAGACTATAATAATATCATGAGCAATTAAATTACTTATTAAATTAAGCTTAAAAGTCTAAGGAAATCTATCTCAATGGAGTGTAGTAATAAGATCATACATGCAATCAATGGATAATGATTTCCTATTCCTTGTATTTTAGAATTAAAATTACCTTATCTGATGATCTTAAGATATTCTGATAATCTTATAGTATAGGAGGGATGGTGTGGTATGGGAGGGATAAAACATGAAAACCTGTGGCATTGGAGCCCTTTACCAATGAAAATATGGTGAATTTTTGCGCATGCCAAACCGACCTCCATATTTTTATATTTATACAGAGGTAAATATGCCATTTTTGTTGCGGGCCAAACAGGACCTTAGTGATCAAACTCTTTAAAGTACCGTATTTTTCCTCCCTCTTTCTTCTTCCTTTATTTCTTTTGGGGGCGGTAGGTGCGGTACTGTTGACCTCTCCCTCCGGAAGGGAAGGCTTTTCGGTTCTTTATGCTGAGGGTTGGCATGAAGCTCGGTCTCTCTCTCTCTCTACTAGTTCCCAATGTGCTAAAACAACCAAATGCAAGAGAATAAAATTCCCACTGTCTGGGAATACTTTTCTGTCTCTCAAACTATGACCTTGAAACTAAAATGTAAAGAAAAGAAAAGAAAAAAAAAAAAAAAGAAAAAAAACTATCAAACTCTCGAATTCTCTGCTGGATCTGTCCTGCTGCGGTCCTCAATGCTCTTCTCTGTCTTCGGTTGTCCCTCTCTGGGGACGGCTCTCTTGTGGCCCTCGGCCGCCGTTGTCTGCGGATGTCTGATGGTTCGTTGACAATCACCACAGAAAACTCCCACGTCCCCCACAAGGCTGCACCAGTCACGTGCCCTAACCCTGAAAACAACCTAACTAAGAAACAAAAGTCACGGCACCTAAGCCCTAGTTACAACAGGGGGTCTTCTACCCAACTCTAGCGTGACATGAAATATCCTCCACAGTACTGTGGGACTTGTCAACGGCCATGGCATAGATTACGACGAAGGTGTGCGGACTACTTTTGGGACGTGTGCTGTGGACATTGAGTATGTATTTGAGCCCGCTGTTTTCTCTTGTATCTTATCAACAACAACCCCCCTCTCGGCGCCAAACCAGTGGCCTCTCTCACAGTACCTGATGATGTGTGATCACGTGCGTTTGTCATCACCCCAACGAACGTAACTCAATAGGGGGATTTCGCAATCAAGAATTCGGGATCGCTATCGTTGTGACGGGCTTGTTTACTGTGACCAAGGTTGGATCGGAAAAAGTGGGATTTCGCAATTATTACAAAAAGTTGGGATAAATCTTTGTCAGCTAGTGTAGTTTCTTAGCGTCTTAGTGTATATCTTGTCAAATATGACGAACCTTAGATTAAACACACAAGTATCTCTCGGGACTACTCTTGCAGTTCTCTCAAAGCTATATGACCTGTTATGATTCTCTAAAATCAATATATCTTTCACTGCAATACCTGCCTCTGATGACTACCTCTGTACCCAGTCCGGTGTCAGCCCCAGAGTTGTCATATCAGCATACATATCTGACAGCTGAAAATAAGGTTACGCTGTGAAACTTTGTGTTGAGAATCAAGGAGACTTTATACAAGGAAGGAAGATGGAGTTTTGGGCAACAATTTCACAACTGCTATTACAGGAAGTGAATATAAGATTGAGGGATCCAGCAGGTATGAGACATTAGGACCAATTGGAGATTTAACTAATTAATAGTTTTGAAAACTATATAGCTAATGTTTTATTATAAATAGGAACAATGAGAGGTATAGTGATAACATGTCAAGCTCAGCAAAAAGTTCAAGATCGTGAATCAGGAACTGTGCAGGAGGATACAGAATTTACCAAGGCAGTAGACAAGTGGATCGAGGTCAAGGATTTTCATCAGCATGAATGTGAGCAAAGTAAAACAACACAAACCCAGGTGGAGAAAGAACACCAAGAGGCTACTCAACATTGGTTCAATCTATTACAAAGTGCTCATAAGAAGTGCTACTATTCTGACAGTGATGATGGAAATGCTTATACTGATTCTAACAGTGAACATGAGACTGAAGCAGGTAATCAATTTTCTAAGTTTATTAAAGGGGCAAGAAACTGAAGAATTATAGGTAAAGAGGGAAGATCAACAAGGCAGTAACTAGAAGAGGATACAATTGAATGAATGGGCCATCTTCGAAAGAAAACTTGTACACAGCCAATAAAAGAAAAAGAGGAAATACAAAGCATGAGTGATACTGTAGTGGGGTTAAGTAACTCAGTCAAAATAGTAGCAGAGAAGATTGGATTAAGGGAAGGCTCTGCTAAGGGTTTAGAAGATCATGTACAGAACTTGAAGGAAAGAATACAGGAAGATCTGCAGGAGCGCAAGGAGCTATGAGTACAGTAAGAGCAAGGAAACAAAATACTTGAGGCAATTGTATACAAGCTATATGATGGAAATTGAAATTCTTACATACATCATTCTGACAACTTCCTTGTTCTTTCTTCTTCCTTTGCTACTCAAAATTACCTCACAGTGATCCCAAGCAGCCAGTCTGTCTAGCTTTGGGTATGGCCAGACTGACCTAGGCTTTTTCTGGGATAGCTGGGCCGGACTGTGGGAAAGCGGCTTTTCAAAACCAAAGCTGGACCCAGCCTGGGCCACCTGCAGGCTTTGTATATGGCTGATACATTGTGATTCCACATCCACTGGATATCTATGGATGACCTGGGCATCTGGTAGTTTAGCCTGGGCATCTGGCAGCTTCGGCCTGGGTTGCCTAACCTCTCGACCTGTTGGTTGCCTGGGCACTACCAGGCTTTGGCTGCTGCAAATAATTTAAGCCGGACTGACCCAGGCTCTTCAGAATCATGGCCAGACTGGCCAGACTGCTAACCTGCAGGCTAGACTATGGGTCGGACTGGCCGCTTGGGATCACTGTTCCCTCATACTAACATTCATTGCCTGCTACTGCTAATGAGCAACAGAATCTCCTCCACCAATTATAGTATCCTTCTTGTGTCTCTTCTTCTTCATCCTACCCACACAGGAGCCTGTATCATAGATCCTTGCTTAAGTCTCTCATGTTCCCTCTCTTTCTTTTTAGCTTCTTTCCTTGCCGCTGCAATCCTCTCTTTCTTTAGTGCATTCTTTATCTTGCCCTTTGTAGAAGACTACTGAGAATTAGGTGGAGGGCTGACAGGCCTGCCACTTCCACCATTGGATGCAGTATCACTCTCACCAATACCAATCCCTCCTCCAAGAGGTGTCTTGATGGCTGGGGAATGGATACTAGAGGATACTAGAGCTAGAAGACACGATTCTAATTATCCTTCGACCCTGCTTGATGGCACTTGTGGCAGTCAAAGGCACAGGAGATATTGGAGAATATTGGAGTTGTCCCTTCATAAGAGGCAGTACTGGATGTCACAATGGCAAGAGAAATAGTATGAGGTCCAGAGGAGCTTACAGCAGTGGCAGTAGTATTAACCGAAGGCAAGACTGCCTTTCCCTTAGCTTGAATAGGGCAAGCTAGCTCAAGTTTCGCAGCTTCAAGACTTTCATCCTTTATCTTCCCAATCGGCCTTGGTGGTGGCTTCTTTGACTTCAATGTGCTAGCTATCAGTAGTAATGCTACTACATTCTCCTTAGTCGATAGGGCCAGAGCTGGGAATTCGTCTTCATCCATCATCCCGGGAGTAAGCTTTCATTCTTGGGTAGTTATTCCAAAACCTGTGACAAACACCAAGCAGAACCATTTAGCTTCAGTTCATACAGTTCATAAAATAAAAGGGAATAAGAAATAATACTGGTAGATGGCAGCAGAGATTCCGGAACCGGGTCTGATTTTCCATATGCAAGTCACCTTGTCTTTTCATTAATCATTTGCACATGAGGCAGAGCAGCAGACCACTCTTTTGAAAGCAATATAAGCATAATAAATAAACATAAAAATTAAAAGTTATATCTTAGATAGGAAGCGTAAGATACTCATTCAAGGAAGGAGGATTGCAATGAAAGCACATACATATTTCATTCCTATAAATACAGGAGTGAATATTAGAGAATAGCACTCCAACCATAAAATATCCTGCAACTGGAGATATTCCACTCCTTAGTCCACTCTTATACCCATTAAATCCCCCAAGATTGATAGTTTTAGCAAACCCATGCTCAACACTAACATGCATACCAGACATATGAGCATTTACTGCCTTCAAAACTGGAGAGAGTGGATATCTAACTATAGCTTTATATCCACTTATGATGCCATATGACAGTGCATATGCAGGATCACCATAGAGATATAAGCTATTTTCTGCATCTCCACCTTCATTGACTTCCTGCAAGTGCCGTTCAAGTCCTAACTCTAAGTACATTCCCCAATCACCTTTCTGCCCAGGCCATGGACCAGTAAGAGATGATAGTAACCCATCTGGTGTCATGACTACTTGAAACTTATATGAGTGATACTTTTTATATCCTGAATGATACCTTCTTTGAAACTCAACTGGCCGGCATATTGCTCGCATAGTTCCATCAATAAATCTCTAAACTCCTTTTACTCCACCTT